CCTACCACGGTGCTCCCCACCCTTGTAATTTTACTAGAAATAAAACCCATCTCCAGAGACCTCGACCCGCGGGTGGGTGCGTTGGGGAATTCTGGGAGTTGAAGTCCACACATCTTAAAGTTCCTGAGGTTGAGAAACACTGGTCTGCATGCTCACCAAGATATAAACTCCCCCAATTCACTGTATGCATGCTTATCAACGTCCAACCTTGCTGAACTCAGTTACTTCCTACCAAACATGCTCAGAATTGGATTTCAGATGAAACAGGAAGGGTAGCGGAACATAAAAGCTAGTTCTGTGATTAACACTGTGAATAAATCCTTCTCATTAACATCAACTGTGTTCATGATTTATGGTTTTTCATCTGCTGGAAATCACGGCCAGAGCAACACCTCGCCAATTTTAAGAAAAACTAAGCAGCCAGTCCTGGAGTTGTAGATTAACCAGGAACCTCAAAATAACACTCAGAAGGCACAAGGAAGCCACATTTGTACTTGCCAAAAAAACCTCTACAAATATATAAATAAAGGCACCATAGATTTGTAAATCAGATTTGAAATAAAGAAAACTGGAATCCTCCAATCTGTTTGGGTTGCACGGTTGGCCCATATTTATTTCACTGATACATTTTTCTTTGGAGAGGGGAAGATGAAAGGAAAAGTCTCTGAAAGTCATTTTCGCCCTCCGCTTTTGACATTTCCCTTGACATTTTGTGCACACCTAACTCTTTTAGCAAAAGTTAGAAACTTGTTTTTTTTTTTTTAAATGAAAACTGAACTGCTAAGAATGCAAAATTCTGAACGCAGCATCAACTTGAAAAAAGTTCCAGCATATCCTTTGAAGAGACCATGTGAGTCTTACTCTGCATGCAGGAAAGAAGAACCAGGAATCTCCTGAAACCATGAAAAGGAGGAACAGAGCACAATCCCAGAGCACTTCCATATCAAATACTGCCAAGAATCAAAGCGTGGCCAAACGTAAAAGAGCGCAGAGAATTAGATAAACCAAAATTCCTAAATCCTTACCCCATCATGTCCGTTCTCTATGCAAATAACCTACATTAATCAGCAAAGACACGAGACCAAAAAAAAAAAAAAAATGCCGGCTGAGCAAATTACATCAGGCAGCTCAAGCCAGTGAGCCAAGCCACAAGCCAACCATCCCAATCAAAACCAAGGAAAGGAAACTCCATTCCAAAAAAGCAGGGCAGCTTGCAAATGAGCTTCACTTAAAAATGTACTTCAGCATAGTACACCTTGTTCTGGACCCCCATATTTATTTATTTATCGTATTTATGGGGACTATTTCAAAGTCTGCAGGGGTAGATGGAAGCAGAGGCTCAGAGGGGCGGACCAGTGAATGCTTCCTTCCCCCACCTCCTGCACACCTGCTCCCGTTTTGTCCACGGTTTGGTGCAGTGGCGAAGGTGCTGGAGTAGAAACCAGGAGGCTCTGAGTTCTAGTCCTCCCCAGGCACAGGAGCCAGCTGGGTGACTTTGGGCCAGTCCCTCTCTCTCAGCCCAACTCACCTCGCAGGGTTGTTGTTGTCGGGAAAAGAGCAGGTGGGAGCATTAGGTGTGCAAAAGGAAAGTGGGATATAGATCTAATAATAATTAAAGAAGTAACATCAGCAAGATTAGGCCCAGCCAAATAGGTATATAGGGAAACGATCCCTCTTGGTCAAATTTAATTCTTTGTTGAGAGTAGATCCACTGAGGGCCTAATCTTGCAGATGTTATAAATTGGCAGCCAAGAGGAAGAGTTTTCTGCCCCTCCTTGTCACCCCCAGTGATCCCCCTGATTTTGCACCCTGGAAGCCCTCCTGAACTAGAAAGGTAAACGGAAAAGGCTTCTCTTTTCCCCATTCAGTACTGACAGCGCCAACTGCTGTACGAAATATATGTGCCTCCGAGTGTGATCCTCTCAAAACACAGTTTTTAAATGCACCCCACTTCCAGTTTGCAGATTTATTCCTCTAGGAGAGGGGTCTTTTTTTAGAATGAATCTTCATCTTTGGCAGGGTTTTAGATGGGTTTATACAGTACAGTGCCCTAGACTAGGCCAGGAAGACCTAACAGCCGCATTCCCACAACATGCCAACCCTGGTTAATGCTAATCTGGGTTGGGTTTTTTGTTGTGGTGGACAAGACAAAGTGGGTTCAGTGATCTCAGCTCATTTGCTTTGTTTAGGGATCGAGGCATTGAAGAAAATGGCTTAATTCAGCAGCCAGGTTGAACGTTGTGCGAACGAAGCCACAGAATTGTTCAGAGAATAAGAGAGTCAGGGGCCTTTGGTGCAAGGGCAGGCTGGTTAAAAGGCCCTCTAGTAATCACAGAAGGGCATTGGAATAATCACATTGGAAGGGATCTTGGAGATGGATCATGTAGTCCAATCCCGGCTGATTTAGAATTACGTAGGTATTTAGTCAGGCCATTTCAAGGATGAGGTGATTAAGCTAGCAACCCCGGTTAATTATAAGGTAGTGTGAGACACGGTGCCCTGAAGCCAACACAGACAGAGGTTGCCAAATTCTCATCCAGAGAATATGCCTGTGTCTGACTTACATCCTTTTAGGCTGCAATTGGGAAAACTATATCGGAGAGCAGCCCTCCTGAACAAACGCCCTGCCTGTGGAAATCTAGCATCTCAGGGATCAGGGTTCTGCTTCAGCATTCTCCCTGACTGGCCTGTTTGCCAGAGGCAGGGAATATGTCTGAAAAATAAAGCATTCCCCTTAACCCTCCCCGCTAAAATCTGAGGATTGGCTGACAGCGTTGGGAAGCCTAAATGGATAAAGCAAGGACCTGTGGGGAGGGGGAGCTGAGCCAGCCCCTGGGCCAGTGACAGAGGATGGGTGTGGCCCTCAGGGCCGAATTAGCCATCTTTCCAAAGGACCTCTTGGTAGCAGGTTTGATTTATTGATTAGTTAGGATTGGGGTGTTGCCTTGTTTCTGCACTCCAGCCCCTTTAGAGCAGTGTTTCTCAACCTTGGCCACTTGAAGATGTGGGGAC